GGCTCTAGTTATCCACACTAGGGCTTTCACACAACATCCAGGAGAATGGGCTTCTCTTGGATGTTGGGAATCTGAACACCAGGCATCGCTTTCTTGAAGACAGGGCTTGGTATAATCCCTCTAGCAATAGTCCTGCCAATGCTCCATTTACTATCCAGATTTCCCAACACCTGGCTTGATTCTTCTGGTGATATGAGTAACTGAGATTTAAGAGGTTAAAATGACTAGCTCATTGGTTACCCTACTGGGAGTGGGCCAACACAGACCATAAACCTTGTCTTTTAATTTCATATAGTTCCACAAAAATGTTACAAATTATTACATTCCCCTTTGATTTAACAAGAGGAAAGCAAAACCACAGCCTCCATTAGTACCTTGTGCTAATGTTTAGTTATCTTCAAAGCCAAAAAAAAAATCCTTTGTTTAATTTAATTGGATGCAAATGGAGTCCTTATCTCCTTGGGAGTTCTTTTTTTAAATAAAATTATGATAAAGTTGACAAAATATAAGATTTATCATCTTAATCATTATTAAGTGTACAGTTCAGAAGTGTTAAGTACATTTACATTGTTAAACAGTCACTCTTCAGAACCCTTTTTAACTTGAAAAACTAAAACTATACTCAGTAAACATTTCCTTATTCTCTCCTTCCCCACCAGCCCCCGGCAACAACCATCCTACTTTCTGTGTGTGTGAATTTGACTACTGTAGGTACCTCATATCTGTGAAACCACACACTATCTGTCCTTCTGTGACTGGCTTGTTTCACTTAGCATATGTCTTTAAGGTTCATCCATGTCATAGCATATGCCAAATAATATTCCACTGTGTGGATATACACATTTTATTTATCCATTGATCCTCATATGGACACTTAGGTGGCTTCTCCCTTTTGGTTATTGTGAATTCTCATCCTGTTTTTTAGGGACAAAGAGCAAATGTGTGCAACCCACCTTGAAATAATCCTTAATTTGCTTGTGAAATCTCTTCTGATCCTTATCTTCTCCAAGAGAAAACGAATAAGTGTCTCTAATTTTTTTCTTATAATTTTGGTTTCTACTTGTTTTGCCATCCCCCTGCTTATTATAAATGTCTTCAAATCCTTTTTTCTATTTAATGGTGAAATTGGAATATAATACACTGTTAGCCAGGAAATGAAAGCTACCTAAGAGCTATCCTTCCCGTCATCCAATTGAATTTCTCACTCCCCACCCACCCTAAGTTTTTCTTTCTTTAGGCAAAACTCATATACCTTCTCATTGCACAGACCTTTCTGCTCCCTTTCTGCTACCAGTAGCCTGTCTCCTGTTTCCACAAAGCTCTTATAACACTGGGACAGTTCATTCATTGCACACCTCAGGCCCAAGCCCTCACCCAGAGTAGAGCCACAGTACATACTTCACTCAGGTATGGAAAGATAATGTCTAAGGTCTTCTAAACACTGAAACACAGTATTCCAAATTACATGTGCATTTGATTTTGTGTGCTAGATGAGCTCTTTTCTGAACATTAAAATTCAAATTGTAGTAAGAAAATGAATAAAAAAATTAAAAGGAAGATTGCTATTTTAAGAACATTGTTGTGAGTCCTTTTACGAATCAACCATTCTCTGCAATGTAAGCTTAATTAAGGATTTATTTAGACTATCACTTCATCCTTTTTGAAAAAAGTAGCTTGCAGTCAGTTTGTAGTTAACTCCAACTCCCTGCCCTGCCCCTCTCCATGCTAACCCAGTCCGTTTTCCTCACTCTGGACCAGACAGTAATTAATATGTTTTTCTTGTGAAATTCTATTTTGGTTGTTTCCTCTTCTAACTCCCCCTGTTTTGGATAGCTCTTTTGCCTACTCTTTGAGATTATTTAAAATGTAGTTTTTTTTTCAGAGATATATTAGTAGTATTTCCTCTGGCCCAGCACAATCTGCAGCTTTAATCTCTGCTGAAAGGCTGCTGGGGATCTGCCTTCCCCTAGAGACAGAGGCAAGCAAAGCTGAGATCACCAGCCAGGAGCTCCCGGGTGAAGTATGTTATCTCTGTTTTACTGGCCAAAATATGAGGTCAAGGAGTTGAAAGTCAAAGATTCTAAGAAAGGGGGTGAGAATGCTGACTTAAAAAAATCAACAGAAGTCCTTCTTATTAGTTTAGTGATATTTGATGTTTACTTTTACAGTGCAAACCTTTTTCCCACATGTGATCAAATTTCCTTTGCTGAGATATTCCAACAATATCTGTATAGATCACTGGTTCATCTTATAAAATTGTAACCTAAGTTGCCAAAGTAGGTTGGCCCAGCCAGTTTCTCAAGGACACAGTGACAACCCTGGGGATCCAGGTCCCACAGTAGCACCCATGCAGCTTAGAGAGCAGTGGCAACCTACATCTCCCGTGTGTCACCACTGAACTCTCTACTTAGTGTCACCCACACTTTAACGTGTACAAGTATATGAGAAGTGGAGAATAGGGTGCATTAAAAGTTCTTTTGAAATGGAGTTGTAGATTTTTTTAAAAAATAGCCACAGCTACCAGATACCTAATTATCATTTTCCTCTTCCAAAAAATGTAAAGATAACCTGACTGCAATATCAAAGAAAGCAAAAATGGGAGAAAACTTGTGTCATTTGCAACAGAGGTTGGAAAATTTGTGCAGATACAATGCAGATGTGAAGACCGATCCCTATGATCTCTGAGACAGACTTCAAAGGAATACATTTGGGATGGTGGGGAAGTAGAAATGGAAAGGTTATGAATAAAACAAAATTGGCCACTAGTTATTATTTTTTGAGCCTGGGTGTAAGGTACCTGAGATTTATGTTACAGGTCTTTGTATTTTGGTGTAATGTTTGAAAATTTTGTAATATACAGCCAGGAAATAGTGAAGATAGGACAAAATTATAGGAAGTCAACAAAGGCAGACTCACATAGCATAAAATACATGTTTTTTATTACAAAGGCAAAATAGAAATGAATAACAACATTCCAAAAATAAAACACAGCTAATCAATCATTAAAATTAAAAATAAAAATAAAGAATCAATCCTAGAAAGTTCCTGGACCAAAAAGGAAATAACATGTGCGAAATGCAATTCCTCAATATTCATGAAGTTATGAAAATGACAACAGTCCATGTAAAAACTTGTGGAATTTTACTAAGTCTGTACTTTAGGGGAAATTAGTAGCCTCAAAATACTTTTATTACTTGACAAGAGAGATTAAAAATAAATTAACAAAGCACTCATTTAAGTAAATTGCAAGAATAACAAAGCATAACTAGAAAAAGAATAAAGAGGACATTAAAGAGCTAAAAGAGAACTCAGAAAATTAAAAAAAGATAATCTAACCAGAAAGCAGAAGGAGAGGCAGGAAACATAAAATAATGGTTGAAAATAACTTCAACTCCACAACTGGGCAATTTTTAGAAAAATATTCATTGCCAAAATTTATACAAGATGAGTACAGTATCAAAACAACAACAACAACAATAATGATAACTAAAACCACTAACTGTAGAAGAAACCAAAAAGGGATTTGAAGATCTTAGTTCCTTTGCGTCCCTCACCTCTAGAAAGTGCCACTATTGGATGGTTTTGCAGGTGACACCATCAACTTTCAAAAAATAATTTGAAAATTACTTTGCTACTTCAACTTTATGAGGATACAGAATAATATTAAACATTGCTTGGCTCATTTTATTTGTAGAATAATTCATATTTTAACAATTGATTAAGCTATTAATCATAAGAAAAACTACAGAAGCATCTTATTAATGAATATAGATTAAAAAAAACAAACAAAATAAAGATGAATCAAATCCAGGACTATGTTAAAACAATAATATGCTATGATCAAAGAAAACTTATTCCTGGAATAAAAGTGAATCTTATATAGTGATATTTATAAGTTTGATATTTCTTATCAATGGATCAAAGGACAAAACACATTTAATGATTGTAAATCCCCAAAGTACATTAATTTTAATATTGATTTGAGCAACATCTATTTCCTGTAAAACTTGAAATTGAAAAACAGTGCCTTAATATTAAATATATATATGTATATATTTAAAAAATAAATTGTGGATTTAATGGCAGTGCACTTTAGTTAGAAGGGTAAGTAGATTTTATCTGTCTGGCTCATGCATTTGGCTGGCCCACACCCATCTGTTCTCAGTAAGAAAGCGTGTTTGAACTGGGTAGCGATATCTACTCTATCAAGATTCCAGTGGGATTTTTTTTACCATGACGAAGTGATTCTATCATTCATCAAGAAGAATAACAGACAAGACTCATTAAGAATGTTTTGAACAATAGAGAGTCAGTATTTACTTTGGTGTACATAATGATATATTCTAACATAATAATATTGTAATTGGGCCAATGTAGAGAGGGACCAAGATATTCAGAATATTGTAATAATGTCATTTCAAATTATTAGATAAAAGATGGATTATTTAATAAGCCTTGTTTGTTATAAGAGAATTCTAGAATTATAGAGAAATGTTTGTATAGTATGCTATGATATTATGTTAAATATAATTGCTTTGTTTATAAGACAAAAAATGCAAGATATTTTAATGCAATCTCATAGCAGTATAATTGTGTTTATTACAATATTCTAATTCACCTAAAGGATATTATCAAGGTTAGTTTTTTATAGCATTGTGGGTTCATAATAAGACATAAAAATTACAAAGCACTTATTTTATTCTGTGCCAGGCACTTTTCTAAGCTATTGAGGTATATTAACTCACTGAATCATCACAACAATCTTTTGAGGTCGATATTATTATTATTTCCTATTAACTACACAAGGCCCCAGAAGTGCAGAGTGTTTATGCAGCTTGTCCACAGCTGCGTATCTAGTAAGTGGCAGAGTTGGAATTGCAACTCCACCAGTCTAGGTCTAGAATCTATACCCACTCCCTCTTTTTGGAATGAGCTGTCTGTGCAACCCCGGAGGAGTCGCCTAGTCTTCAGGCTCTAACTCGCAATTTTTCTTTCCTCAGGGACCTGATGCCCCGAACCCTGGACGGGCAGATCACCATGGAGAAGACGCCCAGTTACTTTGTCACTCGGGAAGCCCCCGCGCGCATCTCAGCCATGTCCAAGGACACTAAGCTCATCGTGGTGGTGCGGGACCCGGTGACCAGAGCCATCTCGGACTACACGCAGACGCTCTCCAAGCGTCCTGACATCCCCACCTTCGAGAGCTTGACGTTCAAAAACAGAACTGCGGGCCTCATCGACACGTCCTGGAGCGCCATCCAAATCGGCATCTATGCGAAGCACCTGGAGCACTGGCTGCGCCATTTCCCCATCGGCCAGATGCTCTTCGTGAGTGGGGAACGGCTCATCAGTGACCCGGCCGGAGAGCTGGGCCGCGTGCAGGACTTCCTGGGCCTCAAGAGGATCATCACCGACAAGCACTTCTACTTCAACAAGACCAAGGGCTTCCCCCTGCCTGAAGAAGGCCGAGGGCAGCAGCAAACCCCACTGCCTGGGCAAGACCAAGGGCAGGACCCACCCCGAGATCGACCGAGAGGTGGTGCAGAGACTGCGCGACTTCTACCGGCCTTTCAACCTCAAGTTCTACCAGATGACCGGGCATGACTTTGGTTGGGATGGATAACAATATAATTTAAAAAGAAAAAATCAAATATAATATATTTTTTTACCATTTGGTAGAGAAAAGACAGTTTAATATTTGTGGTGAAAATATTTCTTTGAGTAGATTTTTTTCAATGAGTGTTAAGAGATTGTTCTCACCTCCGCCCCATCTTTCTGTTTAACTTACACCAAACATTTGGATAAACAAGAAAGGAAAACTTTACTCATCTAAATACTTTCCATTTTTAATTTTTATTTTATGTTTTATATGCATAATTAAAAAGTAAGAGCATCAGTTGCCGTTAAAACTTTTAAGGTAATTCTGGGGGTAAATCAATCTCTTCCTCTGTCTTAGAAGGCCCAGATAAAGTTGGTGTCTAGCCTTCTGCATTTTTCCTTTTAATTTTTTTGTTGTGCCACTTTTTCTTACACTGTTTTGCAATTAATAATACTGTGTGGTTGTACACCACTTCAGTTATCATATTGCTTTCAATTAAAACATTTTTTGATCCTTATACTACTATGTGCTATAAGAACATGGCACATGGAGATTATAGTGCCCATTTTACAGATAAGGAAACTGTCTCAGGGAGATTAAATAGCTTATTGTAGGGCCAGATGGTGAATCTTGGACAAAACCCCATCTTCCATTTATTCCTTATTTCATGCCACTTTTTCTAGGAGAATGAGAAGTAAGATCTCTGTGCCTTTAAAGATGGTTAGGGAGGTTGGAAAAAATGCTCTACGTGGGACAGAGGGGGTTTCCTATTGCTTCCTAAGTTCCAGGGCTAGCCCTCTGGCACTCTGCACACTACAGAGTGTGCTCTTGGAAACCACATGGACCTGGGTACAATATCTTCTGAGAGTTAATCTCAGCTTAATTGTAGTAGAGAGAAATGACTTGATTCATGGATCAAGAACAAGGGAGACAGTCACACTGGCAACAGGACAAGGTGTGGTAGGAGCACAACTTACCTATTTGTTGTTTTGCCTTGACCTATTTCTTTTAATTAAGAAAAACCCATTCCTATAACAGCTTACAAATATGAATCTCATTTTTATTTATCTCTTAACAAAGAAAATCTGCTTCTCTTTGTAATGTCTCATTTCTAACCTTGGATCTAGTGCTAAAATGTATCAATATACATCTTTTACAATGACCTTATTTTTCATGGGTGGAAGCCTGTCACTTTTGACACTTTATTTTTCCCCATTTCTTTTTCATTCTTATAACCTAGTATTCATTAATATTTGGAAAATATTCTCAGAAATGCAGATGGAGGTGAAAAGGTGGTTTTTCCTCTTTGTCCATCTGTTTCTGCCCATCCCCCATTTAAATAGCTCAAATTAATCAATTGTTTATTAAAAGGATTTCTTTCTGAGTGGGCATTAATGAGATTAGCATTAATGAGAATTAATTGGTTTAGAGAGGAGCACATATGCACAAAATATATAAAATATGTATAATTAGTCTATCAGCAATATTTTATTACAGGTTTAAACCCAAGAGGAAACTGTCTCCTAGCTCATGGAACTTTTCTATATCCACCAAAACTTAAAGGACCAAACACTCTAGTATTCTAAAATAATATTCTTTTTCTACTCCTATGTTATTAATCAAGAGAAGCTAAAGTTGTTTTAAATATGCAGTACAACTGTGCATTTGCCACAGAAGCTGCATCAGGTGAAGTAAATATTTCTTGAGAAGCTTAACACAGGATTTAAACAAAGGAAAAATATTTAAATTTCTAGATATCCCATTATTGCTCCAAATCTTTGGCTCTATTTATTAATTCCCACTTTCAGGAGTTAAGTGGGAACCCAAATCCAGGTTCCTTTTCCCAGTTCATTTCCTTCCCTTCCATGCCCTCAATTTGCCAGTGCCACAGCTTGTTTTTGTTCTAGCAGCAACAAGATATTCATTTTGAACTCTTGTCACCTTTTTTCTTAATTCATTTTGTTTATGCTTTCGATTCTTTTATAAGCATTTTCTTGACATTATGCAAAAGTAGTTTGCACAAGAAAACACTTGTGTTCAGCAATCTTCATCTCTTTTTGTGATAAGAAACAATAAAAAAAAAGAATTTAGTGTAAAGAATCTCTTCTTGCATGCATATTGTTCATTTTTTTAAATGAATGATTGAACAACACTTGGGGGAAACCTTCTAACTTCTAAGATTTCATAGGAATGTTAGAAGTTATAGATCCCCCCCAAAAAGTATCAAGATCTAAAATCAGTATACTGTTTCCTCCAGAACAGGATTTTCTATTTCTGCTTCTATGTGGTATTTACTCCTGCTGTACATGGACTTGACCTCAGATTTCTTTGTTCATGTAGCTACACCAAATAAGAAATGTTGTTCTTGATTTGAACAAGCTGTCCTTCCCTGTCGCTGTCTGCTCTGCAGCCATGCCTACTGGCCTCCTTAACTCTTCTTAAGACTGAAGAATCGTCCCCAGAGAACAACCAGAGTCTACAGCTTCATTTTCACACTTGACATTGGAAGTGATTTCTACTGTGTGTAAACTCTCCACACAACTTAGCAACTTTTAAGGAAAATTAATTTTATTCTAATAACCTGGGATTAATAAGCTTCTAGGTAATGGATATTAATTATTCTAGGAGTATTAACCCTGCTCTAATTTTCCAGTTTTCAAGGTCTTTAAAGTTACAATAAACCTCAATGGTAATTTGGATCACATCCCCATTTGGCATTCTTTCTTTAACTGGGCACCAAAAACATTGATGTGTCTGTAAATTCTTAACTCTTGATCTTGCAGTTGCTAATAGGATAAATTACAAACATGTCCATCCTACTCTGTCAGCTGAGACTTGCCAAATTCATTACCCATGAAAATACCCAAGTTCAATGTGTAAATAAATAAATGCATCTATAAAATAATAATACCTTATAGTCATGTAGCAGATTAACCTTTCGAATACAACATTTCGCCTTCAAACACCAGCAGCTCTCCAGTCTCGTTAGTTCTCCTTAAAGCTGAGGAAATTAATCCTTAAGATAGTGATTCTCAACAAAGGATTATTTTCCATTCCAGGACCACATCTGCAGATATTTGGGTTGTCCCAAGGGTGGTGGAGTATAGGGTACTTCTAGTGGGTGAACATCAGGGATGCCATTAAACATCTTATAATGCAGAGTCGAGCTTCCATAACAAAGAATCACCCCACCCAAAATGTCAGTGAGGCTGAGATTCCCAGGGGCAGAGGAAGTAAACCAGTCACAGGCCTGCATGTGTGTGTGTCTGAACCAGGTCAAAATACCAGATTCTAATTAGTGCTTCACTGGTAATTTTTTCACTCACCACTCTAGGTCTTTCTTTTGAAAAACTTTCTCTCTGTAACTCTGTAAGAGGCTCCATTATAATAAATGGACAAATGTTTAACAGTGTGCTTTGCCAAGAGGAGCACTAAAGAGAAACATCAATGAACTGAAATCTTACAACTGAGATATAGGAGCAGCTTGGAACAAATGATAGTCACATTTCTGTGAAGTGGAATCTTTGCCAGTTTCAGGCTGAAAATAGCATTCCAATGAGACATTTCTAAAGGTGTTTTCAAGTTCAAGTCTTGCAATTTCAATTTGACCTCATGACAGTGCTGTGACAGTATTTCTTGTCACCTTACACAACCAAGTGATGACAAGAGATAGAAGTAAAAGGCTCCACTTCTGTTACACAGCTAAATTCAGATGGATATGCTGTGCTATTCAAATGGCCCTAAGTTTCTGAGTAATAGCAAAGAAAGGAGAATTCTTACTAACACATCTAGAAACCCAGGAAGTTTGTATACAATTCCCACAGAATAGGGGAAGAAAAGGGTTATGGTTCCCAAGTATAAAAATGTGTGGCTGAGATTCAGGGAAAGTCTTGGTGCAGAAGTAAAAGACCCTACCTGTCCTCCTATCATATCCTGCATTTACTGAGGAAGAATCAAACTTAAATAACTCAAATGTCATGCACATGCCCTATTAGGTTTCCCTTCAGCATTACTATAGAGTGTATGGTCCTTAATTATCAACAGGAAAACAGATTTACAATTGGAGTCTCAATTATATGGGTGAAAAACATGGATAGGGCAAATTTCAACATGTTTGTCAGTCATGGAGTTTTGCATTGGGAGGCCTTTTCTCTTGCAAAAAGGTGAACTTGGGGAAAGTTAACAAGGCAGTGCAGCTTCATACTCAGTAATAAAATAATGAATTTTAATTATGCCAGGAGGAAATAAAACTGGAAATAAAAATTGCTTCTAATATATTAATCTATTGTGGAATAGTTAGGATATTCCATTGATATGTTTCAGGCTATAACCCTCATTGTCTAGTTAAATTTCTAAGTTTTGGTGGTGTTCTTTTAATAGCTATGTGCTCAATAACCTACTCTCCTGTAGTCTGACTGTCCAAATAAAAGGTAATAACAAACTGGAAGCATACTTTCTATCCCCAAATTCTTGGGTCAGAAACTTTAAGTGCACTCAAAGATTGTATATAAGAAATGTCATCCTCAGTTAGCTCTGCCTGGCTGGTACACAGGCAAGCTAGATTTCTAGCTGGGTGGTAGCCGCTGACTCCTAAGAGGGCTTTAAAGTTTCTGTCTGGTCTGCACATTGGCAAACTATGGTCCATGTGGTCCAGGTCTCTCCCAAAGTCACTTTATAGGAAATCTAGAGTGTTTACTATCCCTGGAATCTTATTTTCATTACAACGAGGAGGGATGTGTGCTTTTCCCTCACATCTTCCATCCCCATGCTTCTTAGTGCCTTCTCTCCCTGCATCTTGCTATGTCCAAGGATGCCTAGAATTCCAGCCTTTCCGAGCCTAATTCTCCCCTCTCTTCAAATGCACCATGTTCAGTGGCGTCCACTTACTACTTCAAGCTCCTGGGGGAAACCTTGCAGCCCACCTTGGACCTCTGCACTCAGCTTCAGCTGTAGGGAAAGCCACCCAACAACTTAGTTGATGTGTATACCCAGACATCAGATGAAGGTCAGATGGGTCTTGCTTTCCCCAATGGTATTTACGTGATGAAAAGAGGGCTCAAAAGATGGGTGAAACAGCATATGAAAGCAGGAGCTTATTGTTGACATAAGATGGAGGTGGTGTTGAAAGGATCCTTACTAGGTTCCAGTGCCCCAACCTCTCCTCTATCCTGAAGAACCAGGGTCAGCAACTTGACTTTTTGCTTCTGCTAGGTTGTCTCCCTCTGGTCTGGGCAGAGGCATTTTCTCCCACCTGTTTTCTCATAGAGCCTTATCTAAGCTCATATTTCTTTATTTCGAGCCTGCAACAGCTGGTCAACCAGAGAACAGTAGGAAGCAAGAAAATTTTATAGTCATTTTACTGCAATTTTTCAGAGAGAACAGGAGTTCTTGATTAGCTACCATCAACCGATACCTTTAGAGCGAAATCTAATTCTTATTTCAAAATACTTGATCTTACTCTTTCAATAGCAGACCAGTTGTTCTTTGCTATGAAAAGTCCAACTAAATATTTTTATAATAATAACTTACATTTATATAAAATGACACAATGCACTTTTCTACCTTACATACATTTGAATATTTTCCCTTTCTTTCTAGATAAAAGAAGTTTTTACAGTCTGTTACAGCTCTTTCCCTGTCCCAACAATCTCCACATTTCCTCCCAACAGAATTGTTTACAAGCATCTCTTAAGCCTCTTCCTTCCATCCTTCCTACTTCCACATCATTTCCCTTCTGAGTGAATTTTTACCCTGCACTGTTTGCCTGCATCAAAATCCTTAGGCCAAACGGTTTAACCTTGCAGCTTTATCTTTTTGTATTCCTCTTTTCTTTTCGGTGTGACTCCTGTTACTTTTTTTCCCTTTTTGTAACCATCTGGCCCCAGAATTATACCTTACCTTTCACTTTAAAACTCAGCCTTTAGTCCTTTTCCTCCTTTACCTTTCCTCCTTTTCCTTCCTTTTCCTCCTTTACCTTTTCTTAGATTGTGCCCTTACATTTTAGCAAAAGTTTTCTGTAGAGAAAATTTCCTTCCCACTCACTAGCCTCCCAGCATGTGGCATTTGAAACGCTCTTGGAGATGTAGCTTTCTTATCCCCTTTTACCCACTAAAATGCAAGTCCTCAGTGGCATCGGCTTCCAACTGTAAAATGATTCCGTATTGAACATGTCTGGCGCTTCTTCATCCAGCCGTAAATAATGAGCTCTTTTTCAGACTCTTTGGCCCCTGCTATTTGATGAGGCCATTAATAAAAAGTTCCCTATCAACAAAATGATAAACTCTGCTAGCCTGAGCCATATATAGTGAATACAGGGAAAAATTGGAAGCAGATCTGTCTTTACTAGCCTTACCCTGTCTTCTAACTTATCCTGCAAATCTCCACATGGTAACAATGCCCAGATTCCATTTCCCTCATCAATCCTTCAATGCTTGTCCCTAGGTTCTCACCACTTCTCTGCCTTTTCATGCCCATTCAGTCATACAACGCCTTTATTGTATAACTGACTCCAGCCCCAATTTCTCTAGCCTGATCTTCATCTTTGTTTAATATTGTCTCCGTTATGTCCTCATTTCTATCACTGTCACTATGCTGTTTTCTAGTGTCCACCCTTCCCTGACACCCTAGCATCTTCATAAGCAGCACTTCTTCATTTCCTGCATTATTTAAAACTTTTCTGCACTTGTTGTTTGAGGCCAGGGACAGAACTACACTGATAGATAATATGATCACATATTCATTAGACTTACCACTTCATAGTTATATATACCTTAAAAGGAAACCATGAATTGTTCAATCCATCTATTTTCTTAATTCTACCTGCCATTTTTAATGACATTTGTTTAATTCATCAGCTCTTTCTGTGCCTTAATGATGAAAACCCATGTCTGGTGGATAATTCTGTGAATAGCTCTGATTTGACTGGGAGTAATGAAGTCTCACATAAATCATTCAGTACAACTGAAGCTCCGTTTACTCATTCATTAAAAAAAAACACACAGAGGGTAAACTATGCTGTCAGACTCATTCCAACTGAAATGTCTGGAAATGTTTTATAGTTGGGGCTGTCACAATAATTATGTTTTTCTGTCTCTTAAAATAATTATCATTCAATCAATTACTTTTCCTGTTTCCCATAGGGCACTGAAAGCTGTAACAAAAATTCGCTTTTGTTAATAAGATTGGGTGCTAGCTGGCCATCAAGTCTTCCCTCCTCAGTAACTCTGTCACCTCTGTCAGGCTGGAGGAGTGGTGGCTGCCCCTGAATCGTGGGTTTCTCTCTCCTTTCCTTATGGTCCTGGCATTATCAACCCTCCTAGATTCTGAGGCTGTATCTTTCCTGGATTCCGAACAAATTCAGTTTAAAAAAGTGCTTAATAACAGTTTCTAAATTGGGGCTATCTTACTCCATCCATTTTGGGCCCTTTAATTTGTATACTGACCCCCACCTTGAACAGTAAAATATAGCTATAAAAAACTCACTCATTCTTGTTTTAACCATTACTATCATCACTGCTTCAGTCTGATCTAAACAGACCATGGTTATTCCTTGGACATGTGCTATTTTCTGTGAACTTTTATACTCCAGTTTCTCCCACCCTCTGTACCATCCCCTGCCTTAAAAAGGACGTACGACCTCACTTTTTTAATCCTAATATAGAGAGAATGTAACATTTTTAACCCTTTAGAGACAGGGACAGTGCTTATTTCCTCTTTATCAGTTGCACAAATGCTGTCTGAGTCTCAGCTTTGCCAAAGATCGTCATCAAGTGACCAAAAAATTCATATGTATTCATGTGCATGACCTCTATGGTGTCAGCAATCCAATCCATTCCATTTTGGTTTGTGAGAATATACTTAGTTTTCAAGGTGCCTTTTGAACTCCCTTTAAAAAAAAGGGGCTCTTTTATAAATTTTTGGTAAAATACACATAACATAAAATTTACCATGTTAATCATTCAGCTTACAATTCAGTGGCATTAAGTACATTCTCAATGTTGTGCAATCATCACCACTGCCCATTTCCAGAACTTCTTTATCACCCTAAATGGAAACCCTGTACCCATCAAACAGTCACTCTGCATCCCCTCCTTCAGCCCCAGGTAATCTCCATTTCACTTTCCGTCTCTATGAATCTGGTTCTTCTAGGTATCTCATATAAGTGGGATTATATAATAGCTGTCCTTTGTGTCTACATTTTTCACTTATAATTTCTTTTCAGATCATCTACATTGTATGTGTTCAAATTTCCTTCCTTTGTAAGGCTGAATAATATTTCACTCTGTGTATGTTTTGTTTATCCATTCATCTGATAGTGGAAACTTAGGTTGCTTCTGCTTTTCGGCTATTGTGAATAATGCTTCTATGAACTTGGGAACACAAATATCTGCTACAGTCTCTGCTTTTAGTTGTTTTAGGTTCATACCTCAGAGTAAAATACCTGGATCCTGTGGTATTTTTGGACTTAACTTTTTGAATAACTGCCAAACTTTTCCACAATGGCTGCAGCATTTTATATTCCAACCAGCAAAGCATGAAGATTCCAATGTCCACATGCTCTTCAACACCTATTAATTTTTCGGTTTCTTTCTTAATTTTTTGATAATAGCCACCCCAATAGATGTGAAGTAAAATGATCCTTTTTTTCTGTTCTTATTCTTTACCTCCAAGTTTTTATTCCTGGCTACTCCTATCCTTCTTCTGCTTGTAATTCTTCTAAAAGGCTTTTTATTTTTTATTTTTATTTATTTGAAGAAATACACAGACCTGTTGCTCATTTCCTTGCCCTCTCTTGTCTTCCTCCTCCTCCCCATCCCTCAGATGATATCAGCTTTCCCCTTTTCTTTCCATAACAGGAACTGACTAATCTCCTATCTTCTTTCACTGCTTCCTCTGCCTTCTTAAACTCCCATGCCCTAGAAACACCCCTGACCATGTGCCCTGAAAGCATAAGGTGGCTTCCTGGCATGGGTCTTGATTCACCCAGCTAGTTCAGCCTCTCCATGTGGTTATCTTGAGGGTGACTGACTTGTACCTGTTTTCTTCCCATCCTAGGAAGCGGGGAGCCAGGATGCTGGCAATCACAAGCTCACACCCATGCTTTCACACAGCCTCTCCCAGAGATTGCATTTTATCTCACCACCACCAGAGGGATTGCCAGAATCTTGTTTTGCACATTGGAGACCCTTTTTTGATGGTACATAATAGTCAGGTGACCCCTCTCACCTACTCCAGACCTTCAGTAAATGGTCTAGGACCTACATCTTTGACCACCAACCATAACCACAAAGAGCAAGTTGCAAAGAGCAGACACCATTTTCTTCACACCACACTCCTTTGTCACATAACCTCTTCATCCACATAAACTTCGGGCTAGATTGTCAACCTCACCAGACCTCTCAACACAGCCCAGGGTCTCTTTCCTCAGTCACAATTTGTTTCTTATCCTGAAGAGATAAGCAGAATTTAATTTATGGCTACTTACTAACATTACCATTAATAAAAACAAGTCACGATTCATCATTTTCACTTCAAAGTGTCATCAAGAATGAAAGGATTTGCATGAATTCTTGTTGCTATCCTCTTGAAAAATAGGTATCAGAAAAATGCTACCAGGAGCAAATTAAAAACAACTCCAGGCTCAGAGACTAATCTCGTCCTCAGATGGCCTATAGATGCCTAAACTTTAACTAGTCAGCTGCACCCACTGAGGCCTCGTCTACCAGGACACTTGTCTCAAATTCTGATAATGAGGCTCATCTTGCATTTCTGTCACTAAGCTCCCAATTTTGAATTCTTCCCAGTCACTGTGTTTTCTGCTCCCTCTGGGACTATGTTCTAGGCTTTCTTCCCCCACACCATTCCAGGAGCAGGGGATGTGTCTGATCCATCTCTGTGATACCATCCCCAATGCCTGCTGCCAGACCCCCTTGACACACCTGACCTGTGCCCGCGGGGCTCTGCCTGGGTCACCACCTGTGTAATGTCCTTGCTGACCCATGAGACAACCAGGGGAAGCCTGATTCCAAAGAACATGAGGCTGTGGCCCCATGTTCTTCATACATGCCTTCATACATTGTCTAAAATAAGTCAGTTCTCTCTCTCAATTATTCCTTGTAGGAATTTGAACTACAGATTTGCAGCTTTGGTTTCTCCAGATGTCATTGTTATTCCCCTGAGGGCTGGGGTTCTTCTGAGGAGCTTTTCTGAAGAGGGCTCCAGTCTACCTGGGCACACAGCAGCAGAGGTCTTTCTGTCATCTCCTGTCTTCACCTTGAGCAGGTGGAGTAACTACAGAGGGAATGAAACTCAAGCTTCAGATATTTCACTGGCTTCAGTCCCTTCCAGGGTCCTTTACCCAGTTTCAGGTTTGCAGGTTTGCATTTTTTTCCTAAAGAAGCCCCTGAAGTTGACTGAGCTTAGGCCTCATGATATCTGTATTCACTTCTGCCTGTGTGATTCCTGGGGAAGACAAATTTGCCATATGGGCAGGATGCAATTTCTTCCTCTTCTTAATTTGGTACATCTCAAATTCCATCCTCTTTACTCCTCAGATGTATTCTCCAGTTCTACTTGCTCATTCTTTGTTTTCCACTGTTTTTAGAGATAGAGAGAGAAAGAAAGGGGAGGGAGGGAAAGAGAGAGAGAGAAGAAACATTGATGAGAGAGAGAAACATTGATTGATTTTCTACTGCTCATGAGCCTAGTGGGGATGGATCCCACTACCCAGGCACGTGCCCTGACCAGGAATCAAAACTGCAGCCTTTCAGTTTGGGGGACTATGCTCCAACCAACTGAGCCACACTGGCCAAGGCCTGCTTTCTCATTCTTATCTTGCACCTGGCTGATAGCTGACTTACAAAGAGTCTTGAGTATCTGTGTAAATAGCCATGACAAAGCAAGACCCTTCTCCCACCTCCATTTGAGAGGACTGGATGTGTTTTAATTTTAACTAGTAAGGTCAAATGAAACTAATCAACACAGGCCCAAACCATTGGTGACCATGTGCACTATCCAGTTACTGCATTTGTTACTACAACTCACAAATCACCTGGCACCCTTCTTAAGCCCTTTCAAGTTTATTTTTTAACATAAATCTTCACTACTGAGAGTCAGAGTAGATTATCGATTAAGAGCAAGGGTATTCTATTTGAATTCTAGATTTGCTGATTTCGAACTGTGTAACTCTGGGAAACACACTTAATCTCTCCATGCCCCAGTTTTCTAACCTGTAAAATGAGATGATAATAGTAGCACTCAGAGCATAGGGTTATTACGAGAATTAAATTTTTATGAGAAGTGCTCATATCAGTGCCTGGAACATAGTAAATAGGATATAATAGGTTTCAGTTCTTATATTAGCTATTGTTTAAAAACTATATAGACTCACTCTCTTGGTTCTAGAAAATGACTATAGTTTGTATGAATATGTTTACACACACGTACATTCTCATTTTCCTATGGACTTCCAGGCCTCTTTGTACAGAGACTATGTAATTTGGGATAATTGTAATACATTTTAAGATTATTTTATCTTGAAATTAGAAGAGTGCTTAAGTACACACTGAACGTTTTCGAATGCTGATGCTCTCTAACAGCTAAGGAGAAATTGGAAGGTGAGAAGTGTAATTTAAACCCGCTGATGGAGACCGTGTGTCTTTTCAGTCAGAGGGAGACCACTCAGGTTTCCTCATTATAAGTCACCCAACAGAAAGCAAACATGTGGAGTGACCCATGGTTCTCTCCATTGCAGGGCTGTGAGAATTTGTGAGGTACAGCCCCTAAAAGTCTCAGGACCTAGAGTTTGGCTCTGACACTATCTTGTGACTTTACATAAATGCTTAGGGGCTTTAAGAGTCTCAGTGTGCTCACCAGGGAGTAGGCCAAATGTTCTCAAAGATTCTTGCCAGCTCTAAGCAAATATAAATGCAAGTTTCATCAAACTGTTTGCTTGGTGAGCCATAGTAATGACACATTTCAGGGGTAGCCACCTCAGGCTTTGCAGAAGTCATGGTGGCACAGACTGAATTTATTTTCTTTCACAGTCCATGTCCCTAAAGGTGGGATATTTCCATGTTCTTCACTGAACACCCCTAATAGCACCTAAGTTCAATTACACTTTCTGAGTAATACCTTTTTAACAACATGGTAGATGCTTCTGTATTTAAAAAGTCATTACCATGGGCACAGGGATTCAGTAGACTTAGTAGGCTATGTCATATTCCACTCCTGCAATCACCTGGTTTAGAAACAACTTAGATTCGCATTTACATTTTCTTTGGAGGAAGGAAAAGATGATGATGTGGAAGTTAAAATATATTGATTTGCTCAAACAGGCTTTAGGGGGAAATGCTTAATGAGAGATGATTCATATACTAGCAAGGGTGTTGCTAAAACTGGGTTAATTGAACTGGGGTGCTCTGTTTATCAGAATGCTCGGGAATCAGGGCATCAATACGTGCTTGCAGTTACAAAACCTCAACATGGTGAAAGTAATAACTAGTGGCAGTCCCATAACGTGAAGATATTTACGATGAAATAGGGCTTCTATGCTACAAAATAGAACTTTACAAGGCCCCCAGCTTTACAGACTAGGACTATTAGCATTTTATATATCTATTGAATTGTTTAAACAATTTTAGCTTTCCTGCCTTTTTTTAAAATTAGAAGTTGTAATTTTTCAAGGGTAAGCCTGGACTTCCTAGAGATTTTTGCAAATAAATATTGAGATTCATAAATAGCAAGAAAATGAACAGTTTCCCTTGATGGCTTGGTTCAATTCGGCCAATTGTACATTTTTTTCTTTTATTTTCTTCACCTTGTTTGGGGAAGGGAACAGAAAAAAGATTATTCATGGTGGTGACTGTTGACTTCATGCAATTTGTTTTCCCATGTCTGTTAAAGTAGAAATTTTATTTATATATATTATATTAAGAAGGCACTCTTTAAAGTTCCAAGTTTTTTTGGCCATGTTTGATAAGCATTAATTTTTTTAAAAAGCTATTCAAAGCTTCTTTAAAATATTCTTCTATGACTTAAGTCATCAAAAATGGTAGGTTTTATGTACTTCAAATCTTTGAATTTATTTTTAGTAGTGCAAATTTTTCTCCTCTGAGAGAACCCATCAATTTCTTTCTTTTAGAAATACAGTTTCTTTTCTGTTGTGTCCATCATTCTTGATTATTTCTTACAAAAGCTACTAAGGTCTTTTATTCAAAATGCTTCTCTGGGACTTTTCTTAATTCTGTAACTTTTCCACTCTAGTAGTTGTAACTGGAAACCATTTAATACATTAAATATAAATTGATTGTGACAAAACTGCCAGGAAAATAATAAACAGTGATAACAAATTTTAAATTAAACTTAAAATTGAAAAATCTCATTTTAAATGTATTTATTAAATTGAATCACTCTACCGGGTTTTCTTTTCTCTTTCTATGTAACATAAAATATGTACATGTTTTCTAGAAGCAAGGTTTAAAGAGTTTACAATGCCTGTTTTCGTGTAATATTTTGTTGGACATTTTCCCTTCAGTGATAGTTCTGTTTAAAAAAAATAATTTTTGTGTGTATTATATTTTACTTAATTAAAGGCACCCATTTCATATAATATAGCCTCAGTTGTTGCCAACCACTGATTCTTATTTATAAAGCATATTGCTTAAGGACCTTAATATTACTGATTGGGTAAACAATATTTCAACATTAAATTAAAATAAAAATCATTAAAGTTTAAACTTTATTATTTTTCTTCCTTAAAATCAGCTATATCTAAAAATTATTTTTGGTCCCAAAACAAGACATTAGGAGGGTGTTGGTTTTCTGATGAAGCAAAAAATTAATGTTAGTTTATTAATTATTTAAATAGTTTATTTTATTCTTTTGGATTTCGAATATACTTATTTTTAAAGATTTTTTAAAGATTTTATTTATTTATTTATTCTTAAATGGAGGGAAGGGGTGGGAGAAAGAGAGGGAGAGAAACATCAAGGTGTGGCTGCCTTTCACACGCCCCCTACTGGGGACCTGGCCCACAACCCAGGCATGTGCCCTGACTGGGAATTGAACCAGGGACCATTTGGTTCACAGGCCTGTGCTCAATCCACTGAACCACACCAACCAGGGCCAAATATAATTTTTAAACATAATAACTGTAAACATTTAAATCATCTATTTGATAAGTTTTGAGATAAAACTTATCATTGGTAAAAACCAATGAACCCATTACCATATTCAAAATAAGCAATTATACTTAATACTCCAAAAATTTCTTATTTCTTCAAAGAGTCCTATAAACTTTAGCTTTATTTTTTTGAGGTTCTGTTATTAGGTAGAAACGTATATAAGATTATTATGTCTCCTTGATGAATTGGCATCTTTACCATCTTCTTTATCCTTGGTAACATTATTTTCTTGGAAATGTACTATAATATTAATGTAGTCATTTAAGCTCTATTTTGATTAGTATTTGTGTGGTAAGCTTTATTCTGCTCTTTTACTTACAATCAATTTCTGTCTTTCTATCTAAAATGTTTTTTGTATAGGCCACATGGATCTTGATATTTTTTAATCCATTATGACAATCTCCCTTTTACTTGAGGTATTTAGACCATTTACATTTAATGTGATTATCGATACAGTTAGATTTAAATTTATGCTCTCAATATTTGTTTTCTATATGGCTGATCAGTTTTTGTTCATTTCTTTATTTCTGTCCTCCTTTGGATTAACTGACTTCTTCACAATTCAATTTTATCTCTTTGTTGGCTTATGGAAGTAGGTTTATAACACATAATAAATTTTGTTCTTACGTGAGCTATGTCCCCAAAAGTGGGATTGATACAATGTTTGGGCCAAATAGTTCCAAAATAAAATCAAAATTACTATGTTTCTCCCACATATTATCTAGCATTGCCATACCCAACACCTACTCATTATTGTGGTTTAAATGAGCATGTGTACACACACGCACACACACACCTCTCCTCACCACAGGTCTCATTCTGTCCTGTACATCTCTAACTCTGGCTTGCTATCTCATTACTTTAAAGAACTCAAATATAGGACCCTAAGAACTGGGGCCTCTCAACTTACCTTCCAAAGTACCTATTTTAGTTTTGGGGGGCTGCCCTAACAAATTACCACCAAGTGGCTTAAAAACAGCAAAAATGTATTTTCTCCTAGTTCAGGTGTCCAGAAGTCTGAAATCAAGGTGTTCGCAGAATTATTTTCTTCTATATACTTTGAAAGAGACTGCTTTCCTTGCTTTTCTCCTTGTTTCCAGTGGTTTGTAGAAGTCTTCTTATTCCTTGGCTTTTAGCTGGAATTTCTGTGTCTGTCTTCACATAGTCATCTTTCCTATATGTGCCTGTGTTCCCTTTGTCTCTAAATTTTCCTGTCCTTATAAAAACACCAATTATTATATTTGAGGCTCACACTAATCTAGTATAACCTCACCTTTGTGAAAAAATATTATTGAAGTATAATTGACATGGAACATTATATATTAGTTTCAGATGTATATATTTATATATTGTGAAATGATCACAATAAGTCTACTTATTGTGATCATTTAGTAAGACAATAAGTCTACTTAACGTCCATCACCCTACATAGTTACAAGATTTTTTCCCTTGTGACGAGAACTTTCATGATCTACTCTCAGCAACTTTCAAATTACCATACAGTATTATTCACTATAGTCACCATGCTGTACCTTACATCTTTATGTCTTATTCATTTTATAAGTGGAAGTTTGTGCCTTCGGACCCCCTTTACCTATTTTGAATCCCCTACACAATATCCCACATCTGACAACCACCAGTCTGTTCTCTGTAGCTATAAACTTTTTTATTTGTTTTTAGATTTCACAAGTGAGTGAGATCATATGGTACTTGTCTTTCTCCGTGTATCTTATTTCACTTAGGATAATGCCCTCAAGGTCCAACCATATTGTCACAAATGGCAAGATTTTCTTCTTTTTTATTACTGAATAATATATATTATATAATGTTCACATATATGAATATTTTCTTTATTTATTAATCTATTGATAGATACTTAGGTTGTTTCCATGCCTTGGCTATTGTAAATAATGTTGCAGTAAACATGGGGTGCATATATCTTTTTTAGTTAGTACTTTTGTTTGCTTTGGGTAAATACCCAGAAGTGGAATTACTGGATCATATGGTAGTTCTATTTTTAATTTTAGTGCTTTAAAATAATATAACCTCAAAAGCCAAGATAGGTCACATTACCAGGTACTTGGAACTTCAGCATAACTTTCTGGGAAGACACAGTTCAATCCCAAGCAATCCCATAAATGCATGGGGCATAAAATAAATATTTCCTGGTCTGCCCTGAATTTAGCATGGACAGATTATCTCTCCCTCGTGGGTTTCGTGTGTGTGCTACATGTTGCTGCAGAATGAATTACTGTGATTCCATGTCACAGTTTCTGCAGATCTGAAGTCCAAGTGAGCTTGTCTGGGCCTTCTGATATGAGTCTGGGGAAGCTTCAGTGTCAGACTGCATTCTCATCTGAACACTTGTCTGAGGAAGAATCTGCTTCCAAACTCATTCAGGTTGGAAGAATTTTTTTGAGGTTCTATGACTCAGTGCTCTGTTCCTGATGGAGGCCATTTTCAGTTCACAGAGGCTACATTCAACACCTAGAGGCTGTCCACTGCTCCTGGAGGCTAGCACAGTCCCTTACCATGTGGAGTTCCTCAAACACTCCACATGGAGATGATGTTACTTCATCAAGCTGGCAAGGAGAGTCTCTAGAGCAAGCCTGCCAGTAAAATGAAATTTTCTATGATGTAACATAATTACAGGAATGACCCTCATAACCCTCGCCTAGAAGCAAGTCCTGTTCACACTCAAGGGGGGAGGGTTACACAGAGGCATGCAGAGGTGGGGATCACCAGGGGCACCTTAACATTTGCCACTTGTTTCCCAGCCTGATGAATGAGCAGATTGCAGCAGGTGTACGCTAAGGTTCCCTTCAGCTCTTGTGTCTAACTGTAGGGAAAGCCTTCCCCCCAAGTTTACATTATTGGCACCTTCCCTATCCATCACGTCTCACTGCTTACACTCAAGCACAGAACCATTCAGAACTTTACCTGCGGTTTTGTCACAGACCTAGCAACTACCTTTGCTGAGATCAGTAGCCATTTATAGAAAGGCTTTTTTAATCAATATGTGGTGACTTTTAATTCCTAAATAAAGTGAGGACTTCACTCTCCTCTAACTGAGTAGAATAACTTGAATTTACTACACTCTTGACCTGTTTTTCCTTGATACATTTTCTTTGTAGTTTCTTAAAGAATACTTTCTTTGCTGAAGTGAACTTATCATCAAATCCCCTGCTTCCAAAAGGGTGAATTACAGAACTATGAGTTTTGAATGTAACTCACTAATTGTTAAGTGATGTCCCCATCACATTGTCTGTTTTCCTGTGCAGCTTTTATAAGATTCCCTCTTCATGTCCTCTTCTTAGAAGACCTCCTCTCTCATTGAACATGATTTTTTGGCTTCCTCTACAGCCTCCTCTCCTTTTCCTTTCTTCTCTCTTCTCCAACCCTCCAACCAGCTCAGGCTACAACCAATCTCAGCCTTGCTACAACTAGAACATTTCAGTAAAACCAACAGCAAAATAAAACACACAGGCCAGACCCTGTAGAGTCTGCTGCCTTTCTTTGCCTTTTCTCATATCCTGTTGGTGCATTCCTTTTTCACCCTGTTCCAGGACTGAAGTCTCTAGCTATAGGCCCACCCTGCTGTTCACTGTGTCACCTCTAGTTAAATGGATGCCCTCTGGGAGAGAAGAACTCAGAACTTCCATTCTGAGAAGAACTGAAGAACTCAGAACTCAGAAAGACATTCTTAAACCTGGGGTATATAGAGTTAGATCAGTTTTACATTGAGATTTAAGTAAAGTCATTCTGATTGGGAGCCAATAACTATTGAAACTCTTCTTGGAATCACCAACCTCAAAACAATGAATGCATTCCTCAGCATAGTAGTGTTTGACCGTAGCTTCACA